GCGCAGCGCAGCGGCCCGGGATGTTCGGCGGCGGTCGAGGTACTTTGCGGCGTGGATGGCGGTCGGGGACGACGGACGGGGTGTGTGTGCTGACGGCTGCTGAATGGGTGCTGTGGTGTGCTGTGGCAGGCGTTGCACCAGCGATGTTCCCTACGATCCAGCACCTGATGGGGGAAGTTGTCCGTGTGTACGTACAAGTACTGTACAACGTCGAAGTAGCGCTACTCGTGCCCGGATCTCGGCCGATGTGAGTGGGCAAGGTGCGGGAATAGCTGGGTCATGAGGGACGACTCGGTAGGCTGAGGCAGGTTCTGGAGGACTTGGCGACATGTCGTTCGGGCTGGACGGTATGGACGGCGAAAGAAGCCATGGCTTTGAACGCCCAGGATGACGGATGGTTCGAGCCCTTTTTGCCGTCCATCTCGGGAGCCAAAAACGGTCCGCATTAGGAGGCAAGCCGCTCTTCTTAAGACGAACTTGGACGTTTGTGTAATCGGGCCTGAAGTTCTGGACGGCCACGGGACCCAGAGTAATCAGACCTGGGACGGCCTCAGTCTCGCGAGGGATAAGACGAAGGGTGCCAAATGGCGTGGCGCTGAGTGGGCAAACATCCCACGATGGAGACGAGAGAGGAGACGCAGATTTGGGCGGCCCGAATTGAAGATTGTGCAAGCGTGGCTGCTTGGCCGCATAGGCGTGTGTGTAAGATCCAGCAGGCAGGTCGATGTCTGCGTGTGGTGAGGGAGGGACGGGAAGAGAATACCGAGGGGTAGCGAGTTGGAGAAGGGTGGCTAAAGTGAGGAGTAGTTGGACGGAGTCGATTGAGTGGTTGCAATCGGAGTTCGAGAGGGGGAGAGGGGAGAGGTGGAGGAGGAGAAGGAAAGGGTCGAGACAGGGGACGGGATCCTAATGGAACCGGGCCCCTACTCCCACCTTCCCCATCGCAGCATCGGCTGGGAGGGTTTTGCCGATCATTGCGAGACGGACCCACCCTTTCTTTTCTGCAGCAATTTTTCTGTGTTCGTTCTTTTTTTTAGCCTCTGACTCGGCAGGCAGGACCGAAACGACCGAGACAGGGGTGTTCGTCTCAACAGTGCCGACTCATCACCGAAAGCACCCAATCTCGGGGCTCAAACACCGAGATGCATGACGGCCCCTGGATGACATTTGAGGCTCTGACTGGAAACACCACACGGATGGGATGGCACTGCAACGCTTGCAACGCCTGCAACGCCTGCCAACGCCCATCACCCCGGGGCCCCGACACATTTCGTGCCTTTCCCCGTTTTCATTTCCACTTCTCCATGGACGAACAAGCGGGTCTCTCCTTTGCCTCTTCCAAGAGTCAGTCATCCACTGGGCCACTGACGGGTGAAGTCACTCTTTGTTCGGTCTGAGCTCGGTGCCAGTGCCACGTTTATGCCGCCCATGATGTCAGACACGTCAATTACCAGTCTGGAGCTCGAGTAAGGTCCGCAGAGGAGAGAGAGAGAGAGCTACCTGCTGCTGGTGCAATGACGGCCTCAGCATTGGCAATGCAATGACCACCACCACCACCACCAGCGTCGCAGTGACTCGGGAATGCGATGTGAGGCAGGGTCAGCAGGAGCACAGACGAGGCCTTGACTGCCAGACCAGCGACCACAGATTCTACTGGCCTGACACCACGTGGGGGTAGCTGGAGGTGGTGAATGCGAGTCACCCCGAGTGTTGCTATTTGCGTGAGGAAGGACGGACTGAGACGAGTACCTAGAGCTCCCGTCCGGATTCCCACATAGAGCAACGACGCGATCTCCGATTGATCCCCCCCCCCCCCTCCATCCGCCGGCCCTTCCCACTTAACCTCTTGTTTTTTTCTTCCCTCATTCTCTGTGCATGCATCTGTTTGCCCTGCCCAGACCAACGGAAAATTCTTAGTAGCGCCGAACGGAACCATTCCTGGTCTTCCTCGGGGTGTCATTCCACGAATCGAAGCCCAAAGTTGCGGGTGAGGCGGCCCAGCCCGAACTTCTCCTCTACCTAGACCGATCTACGCTACCTATACCTATGCCTATACATCCTCATTCACCTTGCTGGTCCTGACCCTCTTAAGCTGAGCCCGTGGCGCCTTTTCTCTTTCCCTATTATTTCCTCTTCCCTTCCCTTCTCAACCAGGAACACCACCTGTCGCATCTCAAGCAACAAACACAGCATCACCAACGTAGAGAAGACACCGCGACTCCCACCTGTCACTGGGAAAGTCGCCCTTCTCCAACCGCCGCCCTCTCGGTCCTTCTGGACACTTCGGCCCAACACTCCCCCGAGAGCATACGAAGTCAAAAAAAAAGACGTTACAAAACCTTGGGAGCATGGCTTCGCGCTTCTCCCGCCTGGCGAAGCCCATCGCCGCCGCCACCGTTGTCGCAACCGGTGGTGTCGTCGGCTTCGCGGCCTTCTCCAACCGCACCTCACACACCGTCGACAAGCCCCTCGTCGAGCTCAAGCGCGACGCCCAGGGCCGCATCGTTCCGCCGTCTTTCCCCTCCGTCAAGGACCGCGAGGCCCAGCTCGCCGACCTGCGCGCCCACGCCTCCGACTCCGTCGAGTATGACCTGCTCGTCATCGGCGGCGGCGCTACCGGCACCGGCATCGCCCTGGACGCCGTCACCCGCGGCCTCAAGGTCGCCCTCGTCGAGCGCGACGACTGGTCCGCCGGCACCTCCTCCAAGAGCACCAAGCTTGTCCACGGCGGCGTCCGCTACCTCGAGAAGGCCATCCTCAACCTCGACTACGCCCAGTGGCAGCTCGTCAAGGAGGCTCTCCACGAGCGCAAGACCTTCCTCACCGTCGCCCCCCACCTGTCCTCGTCTCTGCCCATCGTCCTCCCCGTCCAGGATTGGTACTGGGCCCCCTACGCCTGGGTCGGCACCAAGATGTACGACCTGCTCGCCGGTTCCCAGGGTCTCGAGAGCTCCTACTTCATGTCCAAGTCCAAGGCCCTCGAGGCCTTCCCCCTGCTCCGCAAGGAAGGCCTCTTTGGTGCCCTCGCCTACTACGACGGCCAGCACAACGACTCCCGCATGAACGTCTCCCTCGCCCTCACCGCAGCCCTGTACGGCGCCACCGTCGCCAACCACGTCGAAGTCACCTCTCTGGAAAAGAACGCCAACGGCAAGATCTGCGGCGCAAAGGTCCGCGATGTCCTGAACCCCGCCTCCGAGTCCTTCACCGTCCGCGCCAAGGGCGTCATCAACGCTACCGGTCCCTTCGCCGACGCCATCGAGCGCATGGACAACCCCAACCACAAGTCCATCGTCGCTCCCGCTTCTGGCGCCCACATCATGCTCCCTGGAAACATCTGCCCCAACGGTATCGGTCTGCTGCAAACCTCGTCCGACGGTCGCGTCATCTTCGTTCTTCCCTGGCAGGGTGCCACCCTCGCCGGAACCACTGATACCGCCTGTGCCGTCGAGAAGGAGCCCATCGCGCAAGACAAGGACATCGACTTTATTCTGTCCGAGGTTAACAAGATGATCACTCCCGAGTCTGCCCTGTCCCGTTCCGATGTTATGGCTGCCTGGTCTGGTAAGTTGCCTCCCGAAAACCTCCGCATCACAAAACACCACTAACACCCTGCAGGAATCCGCCCCCTGGTCAAGGACCCCAAGGCCAAGAACACCGAATCCCTCGTTCGCTCCCACCTCGTTACCGTCTCCGACTCCGGCCTCCTCACCTGCGCCGGCGGCAAGTGGACTACCTACCGCCAAATGGCCCAGGACGCCGTCGACGAAGCCATCTCCTCCTTTAACCTCAAGCCCCAGTCCGGCCTCCTCCACCCCGACATCTCCGGCGCCGGCCTGCCCGGCCTCATCACCACCGGCTCCTGCATCACCACCCGCGTGCCCCTCCTCGGCGCCCACGGCTTCTCCACCCAGCTCACCGGCCACCTCATTTCGCACTTCTCCCTCGACCCCGACGTCGCGCACCACCTTGCCACCAACTACGGCGACCGCGCCTGGTCCGTCGCCGCCGTTTCCGCCGCCCGCATCCTCCCTCAGTTCCCCTTCGTCGAGGGCGAGATCCGCCACGGCGTCCGCGCTGAGCAGGCCATGACCGCCACCGACCTCATCTCCCGCCGCACTCGCCTCGCCTTCCTCGACGCCGAGTCCGCCCTCCGCGCCCTGCCCCGCGTCATCGACGTCATGGCCGAGGAGCTTGCCTGGTCCGACGCCCGCAAGGCTGCCGAGTGGTCCGACACCGTCCGCTTCCTGCAGTCCATGGGCCTGTCCCAGGACAAGCTCGGCGTCACCCGCGACGACGTGCTGAAGAGCAGCGGCGGCGGCGGCGCCAAGGCTCTACCTGCCCCCTCCAAGCCCCAGGCTGCTGCTGCCTCGTCCGGCGGCATCAAGGTCGGTCTGGGCGAGATCCAGGCCGGCGGCGCGCTGGCGCGGAACGCTACCTCCCAGGCATAAGCAAAAGAGCGTAGGCGTGTAGTGTGTATGTATGGATGAAGTGTATGTGAAGCATTCGCAGACGGTGCGGCTAGAACGGCCCGAAGCTGCGTGTGTGCTCTTTTTCTTTTGAAGTTTTCTGGATTCCGGGATACCTAGATAGACGGGTATGGCGTCTTGGTGGGCATTTGGAGAGCACGTGTACGATTTCCCAATTATTCCTTTTCCTTTCATGGTTTGATGGATGCATGAGCATGGCGGCGACAGCACTAGAAAGTCTTCCCTCGAATATGAGCGATAGACTTGCGTGCGTGAGTTAGCATAGATGGCTTTGGCCACGGAATACCAAGTCATGATCATATATGCCAATGTCGTTCCTTCATCGTCATCGTACGTGTGTTTTTGTGTTGTGCATGTTTGTGCATTGCGCCTTAAAGACAAGAGCTTACCCATGTCTATCGATATAATTCATCTAGAATCTCCGCATACCTTCCGGCGCCCTAATTTTATTCTGCTCTCCAGCACATTTACTCTATTTCATGGCCATACCTCCTCATTAAAGCCACATCCTCACTTGCCCTCCTTCGGCAGCACCCTCCACTGATCCGCAACCTTCAACCCATACCCTTCCGCGATGTCACACCCGCCGCGTCCCCACTTCATCTCGAAGATCTTGCGCCCCGCGCCGACGAGCACCTCGAACGCCTCCGCGAAGCCTTCCGCGTTGTAGTAGTACGGCTCGCCCTCGCCGCCGCGCTGGCTCTTCTGCCACGAGTTGCGGTTGTGGTCGTTGCCGCCCCGGTACTTGTAGTTCGTCATCTCCAGCACGACGGCCACGAGGGAGCGGAAGTACTCCCGCGCGCCAGCCTCCGCTTCCAGGTCGTCGGCGGCCGGTTTGGAGGCCGCGTTGTCGCGGGAGGCGGCTTTCATCTGCTCCTCTGCCTTCTTCTCGTCTTCCTTCTTCTTCTTTTCTTCCTCGGCCTTTTTCTTTTCTTCAGCGGTCTTCTTGGCCTTTGCCTCTTCTTCCTTCTTCACGTCCGCGGGGTTCGGCGGGTTCGGGTCCACCCACTCCGCCTTCGCCCCGGCCACGCGGAACAGCACGCCCAGATCGCGCAGGTGCGTCGACACGTCGTTGACGAGGCCCACGCGGCGGTGCTTCATCGTCCACCCGTCCATCGTCAGCCGCGCGTTCATGTCGCAGTCGGTCGCGTAGTACGGGATCAGCGAGTCCCACCCGCCGATGGCGTCCATCGCCGCGCGGTTGACGAGCGTGAGGTGGTCGTACTGGTACCACCGGAACGCCCACTTCTCTTTGCGTTCTAGCGTCGTGTTGAGATCGCGCAGGCAGTTCTCGTAGATGGTGCGGTACCCCTTCTCGCCCGCGGCAGGCGGGTTCATCACCTCCTCGCGCTCGGCGTCCGAGTAGAACTCCCAGGGGCGGTCGCCGGGGCGGTGGGTGTCGTCGCGCCCGTCCTCGGGGGAGAAGACGACGACGTCCTGGTGGGAGTAGAAGTAGTACGGCCAGTTGTTCGCGTGCGCGGTGTGGAGGAACATGTTTTGCATCTGCGAGAAGGAGAGCAGCGCGGGCGCCTGGACGACGTTCACCCCCAGCCGGGAGAGGGTCGTGTGGTTGAGGTAGAAGGGGTTCTGCAGCGAGAGCTTGTTTCTTGCGTTGGCGATCTGCACGCCTGTGTTCTCGAGGACGTGGATCGAGGAGGGCGGCCACCCGGCGGCGATGTAGCTCGCGACGCATTGGAGGAGGATAGGCCACTGGCGGGTGAAGCCTATGAAGAGCGGCGGCATGGCCTCGAGGCCGTATGCCTTATGGACATCCTTCCGGGGCCGGTTGTGCGCGGGGACTGGCGGTGGTGGGGAGGCGGTGTTGGCGAGGAGCGGGAAGGGGTCGATTACGGGCGGCGGGGTGTACGTCGGCGCGGGCTTGTAGCGCGGCGTCTCGGCGGGTTTTGAGGATTTGCTGCCGTCGCCGGAGGATCTGAAGAGGGAGTCGGTGGTGGTGATGCTCTCGCGGAAGCGGACGAGGACGAGGACGAGGGCGAAGAGGAAGACGGCGGGGAGGATGTTTCGGAGGCGGGAGTTGAGGGCGATCATTGTCGCGGGTTTTCGGGGGCTGACTTGCTGGGTTGGAATCCTTCAGCGCATGGGAAGGAGCAGGAGATCTTCGTCGGCGCTGGGTCGACGGCGCGGTGGAGGGGAAGACATTGCGGCCGGAGAGGTTGCCACGAGGCGAGGCAGCGGGAGGTGTTGTCTCTTTTGTTGGTCCGTTCGAGGCGGCGTGCCGTGTGTCGTATCGTGTCGTGTCACACAGCGGGAGATAGGCAACGTCTTACGCCTCCCCGAATGTGGGATGGGATCATGCAGCTTCCTTGTTGCTGGCCCGGGTGGGTGGTGGAAAGGGTGGAAACGCACGCGAAAATGCGGCTCGCCGACATGGGAGTTTGCGCCAGGCTGAGGCAGCTGTTCGGGAAACTTTTACAGGAGGGGTTTAGCGCGCTTTCGGGGGCCGTTTGACGGCACGCCCAGCTTGTTAGGCGTCCCGCTTTTCGGGCGACCAATGATGCGGCGCTGAAGCTTGACGATCGGAGCACGGCAACGGTGCTGGACCGGGGTATGCCTGCGTCCGGCCTGGGAGCCCGTTTGATGCAGGGGCAGGGGATTTGGGTTGCGTACGCAAGCTGTTATTTCATGGATGAACCTCATGATTTGACACATTCTGGCACAGGTTAGACGGGATGCGGTTTGTGTCCTCTGAAATATTCATCGATGAAGTCGCAGAGGATGAACAAGGTTGGCTACCTAGTCAACTTTGAGCTGGTTTCACGGCTTCAAGCTGCGTGACGTTGTACGCGCCCGGCATGTCGACTTTATGTATCAGTGTACGGCATGGAAAAATAAGAGATTGCCTATGTTTCCTGTGCTAAACCGACTACTTTCCTGATCAGCTCCTGAATTCAATGAGGGCTACGAAGTTAGACGACGCCGGTAGACAACGAAGATAATAGAAGATAATAACAGTCGTGATATTGGAAGTGACGATAATGCCGACTAATAGTAACGACGACAGCGAGCATGTAGGAAACGTAGTCGCTCTAGTACAAGAAAATTAGGCGGTCCCAAAAATAACCCGATTTCTTATACGCTGTCTGGAGATGTCGTGAGAGCCTTCAAGGAAACTGAGTAATCAAATTAGACTTTGCGCGCCACAAATAAAGATTCAATATTTATCAAGGTACTCAAAAGACACGGTGCACTCAAGAAGCTCTGCCGGGCTATTACTCCGCACTGGTTCAAGCACGCCATCTGCATTCACTCCTTCGTGTCATTCATCTCAGAAGCTCAGAACCTAGTCCGACATCTGCAAGCAACACACGGCTGAGATTACTGAACATGGAGAAACAACAACCCGCCATCCTCCTAGTACATGACGGTCATCCAGGCGATGAAATGCCGAAGCCAAGACCCAATGGCATTCTCGGCGTTGTCTACGACATTGGCCGAAGTCGATTGCCGTAAGAAGCCTTCACATGATGAATTGAAGCCTGACATAGATCGTTGACAGGGGATAGCATCATCTTTACTTTCAAAACACTAGCTTTGCTCGATGCCATTTTTACAAAAGTCAAGATTGAAGACGACGCTCTCATCAAATTGTTGGTTCTCGAGGGCTTGTTAGGGGCATGGATGGTCGCCATGGCTTATTCGGGGGTATTCAACGAAATTACGAAAGGCATGTCTAGTCTCCAGAAAAAGCAGCTGTTTATGGGCGTGTGAGGAGCAAGATGGAGAGATGAGCGAACTCAGAGATAGCGGTGGTCATGCTGCTGATACTGGGTTCTCAGAACTGTCCTCGGCTGTAAAAGGCTCCAAGGCACCGGGAGTCCCAAGATAAATAATTATGACGTTTGGAAAGTAGTCGCCTGATATTTCAGTGTGAAGCTTGAAGTCTGTTATTATATTGCAAGGTTGTTCATGCCAAGGGATGTGGTGGAGATTTAGAACAGAGACTGCATTCTTGAGGCTCACTTCTACTCGGCTTTTTTCGACATCCTCGGCGTTTTTAGGCCTTGCTAAAATCTCTTCGTCCCTCACTGAAGGTCATTCTATGGTTGAAGTAGGAGACCATCTCTCTGTTACCTATGCTTAGCAAGAACTTTGATGTTTGCATTTTACTTAGCAAAGTTGGCCAGCTGACCTCCCAGGCAAAAGCAACTTAGCTACTCTCTAGCTCCTCAAGTTCCACACGATCCATGAGAGACTGGACTTGCTCAAACGTAGCCTGTCGTTGATCAGCTAAGATTCAAGGGATCAGAGACAAAGCACTGGACTGGAGTCAACGTTTGATTTGGACACATCCCGGGGCGTTACGAGGTGACAGGCTGGGCAACCCTGCACATTCTCTCTCACGTCTTCTCTCTAGTATTCTTTCGTACTGCCGAGGCATGCTAACACGAAAAAAGCCTTGAGTAGTGATCTTACATTCTTTGCAAGGTTGCAAATGAACCCCGAACGAAAATAGAGTCTTAGGTTCAAATCCATCGGCAAAGACCTTTACCTAAACCACATTCCAAGATGCAATAAATCTGTTGTGGATCGCACCAAAAAAGAAAAGAAAAAAACATTTAATGGGATACCATGAGATCACTTTCTCTATTTTGGAGAACCCATTGCAGTAGCTTTTCCCTCCGTATTCCAGTACATTCAGTCATCTTCCGGGTATGCTCCTGGAAGGTGGAGAGGCGGATTCTCGGTTAGCTCCCAGAAGTCTCCCACAAACTCCTCGACATCAGCGTCCCAGATCAGTTCCCAATCTTGAGGGCGAGAGCCAAAAGTAAACGACATCAGTCGCGGACCATACAACCACTTACGGTCTCCCGGCAGCATCATACTCAGCTTCCACCAGCGCGTGCAGCTTCTATGGCTAGATTCATAGATCGCTAGCTGGTGCCTTCCATATTCTGACAAGTCATGACCTGAGGCATGGACGTCCTCAAGCCAAGATATCAGGTCCGAGTTAATTGACGCTTTTTCAAGCGTATATTACTAGTTGATTCGTGTCGCAAGCCCGGATGATCAATCCTGTTTTGCAGGCCGTCTAAAAAAAGACTTGATGCAGATGCGGCTGAGCTCTCTGATGGTTGCCACACTAGCTCATCCATCGAGATATCCGTCAGAAGCCATACTGCGAGCTCTTTCCAATCTCTAAAGTCTGTCACGTCAGCCTCTCTGTCCGACCATCTGTTGCTGTCTGGACCGAGTCGTCTAGATGCGAGGTAGAAATATTCGCTAGTGAAGTTGGCAAGTCTTGCCGCCCATGTACCTTTCAGTATGCTTTCTCTGAAAAACTGTGGGCTGACGTTTTTGTTGCGACAGAGTCTGAGAAAAAGCTGAGGGTTCGTCTGTTCCCAGAATAGGGTTCGAAACAGTTCAAAAATCGAAACTTCGCCGTTGACAGCATTTCTCTCCCCAACAAAAAGTGAGAGTAGTCCAGGAACTGTCCAAACGTAGTGGCAGACATAAACAAGGCCTAAAGCCTGGACATTTTCAAGGCTGAACAACTTGTCGCTGAGAGTTCCCAGAAGCCCAAGTTCAGCTACAAACTTGAACCAGTGCAAAACGCCATCGTCTTGATGGCGATCCGCTTGAATCCAAGTGTATTCAATAGTTTCCAGCAGGCCCGAACCTTCGATGTGAAAGCCCATAGTTACGAGGCTTCTGGCAACACTAAAGTTGCTTTCTCGCAAGGCAATCTGTATGTTCTTTTGATCATCAGCTTCCAAGTGTGATTTGCATCACGGTACCACTGCTCAACTAAGGAGCAACATACATCCAAGAGAGAATGACCAAATTCGTTGCGATCTAGTATGGACGCTCGACCACTAGTCAAATGCTCTGCGACTTCAGGCCACGAGCCTTGTCTGACAAGGTCGAAAATTCGATCGCATTTCGGACGGGTAGTCCAAGGTCTGATTGACGCGTTCCACCCCATTGGGCTACTGTATGCTTCAAAGTCCCAGGCTCTTCCAGACAGGCGCCATGGGAGTTCAACCCGCACTTGAGTTCAACCCGCACTTGAAGAACTTCTCTACGTCAGGAACAAATTCTTTTCATTGGAAACGTACGCACTGACCTTGTGCTGTCGGTTTTCCGGGATGCTTTGAAATCTGGTAGGTGTAACCGCCCAACAAGCGTCGCTGGCGCCACGCGATCGGCTTTGGCTTCTGCCTCCTCTGAAGTCTTCCTCCTTGGACTAGGTCGTTGAAGTTTGATTTCTCAACTAGGTCTTCCACCATGCGGCCGTCGGAATTGTTTGGGTCTTCTCCAAGCCGATCGGGCTGGACATTGTTTACGGTTTGTAGCAGCAGATGAGACTGAACCATGGACCTAAATAGCGCTATTAACATCGTGAATACACCTAGCACTTTCTTGAACTCACAAAAGCTGACCAATTTTGTCGTCCGTATTTCTGTGGAGGCTAATAGATTGCAAATGCAAGGCTTGTGACTCCCTCTGTGAGTGCAAGTTATTCACATTGAAGAAAAACGAAAGTGTCCGGGAGATGGTGTCCAATTCTGATCGGTATCGTTGGATCAGGGTCTTACTCAACATTGCCCTCAGCTTCGTCAAGTTCCTCTTCCCCCTTTTCGCTGTCACGATCCGTTGATTCAAATCCGCAGCCAATAGGTGAAGCTTCCCAGACACCTCCTTGTAGTTATGCATGAGTAGTAGAGCCGTATCGGTAGATGGGTCTTGAGCCTGATTTATGAAGACTGCCTCGGCCTCTTCCAGCATCGGTTTCAAATGCGTGAGATCGTTCATCAGTCGATTGATCTCTTCGGGGACATCTTGTGCCTCATCCCAAAGCTTTTTTGTCGTGAGTACGCTTTTCGCGAAGATTTCTGCCAATGCGACTGCACTCGAAACGGCGCCGAGCACCTCCATGTCGATTGACTTGAGTTATTTCCTGGCCTCTCGTGGCACGCTCGAATGGGTGGAAGGGGTGACGCCGGAGCCTAGAGTCCGTGCCCTCGCTCTGGGGACATCATGATTTTTCACAAGAGTAAAGAACATCAGAAGCGGCTTTCTCCGGGACGCAAGGGAGTTTAGAATCTTTAAAATGCTGCCTAATGCCAAGGGCATGACTTGCGTTGGTCCATCTGCCATCTGAGCCACCTCACGTATGCAGGATCTGCCCAATCATTTGGCTCTGTATTACCCACCAGGGCGCTTAGCATCTTATTTCTGCAGGCTTAGATGGGTCCTCTCTGGGTTTGAAAGCTGCGGTTCTGCCTCGCGGAAAAGCCATCACAAACAGGCGAACCAATCAGGGAACATAGGATGAATCTACGTTACCAGCGGGTGATGTAGCCCGTCACTCCGTTCAATATCTATGTCGAGACTGCATGTATCTGTGATCCAGTGAGTCTGACATATCGCATGTAGAACCACGATCTCTACTAGTATGCACCTTTTAGGAAGCCAAAGGGCACATTGAACTCCGTAAAATGGAGGAGTGGAATATCCACGACGTCTCAACGATCTTCGCCTTGAAATCAACTGAGAAAGACCTGTGTTATGAATCATAGTATTCTTATGATAGGTGAATGCGGTAGGCTTTTGAGTGTTAAGGTAATGTCAAGTATTTAGATTTTAATTTAGCCAATAGAGAGCAATGATTCATTTCAGAGATTTAACCCCTTCTAAGTACATACTACATAGGGTAATGATTTGCAGGTAAGATCTCCAGCGATGTAATTGAGTCTCGTAGTTATCTCTATGTTAGTCCCAGGGGACATAACAGATGTAGAAGAATTAGGTCATTATCATGCCCATAATGTTCCCCAAGAGCTTAGCTATCCGGACGGATACGTTCAGCTAATCAGTGCCAGTAACCACCAGTCATATATCTGAACTAGTTTATTGTGGTTAAAACTGTGTTCTTAGTGTTCTTTTGCTGTCGCATGATTTTCTACGACCACCACTACTGTTGGTGTTTTCGTCACGGTGATCGTCAACGTTATTAACATCGATGACGTTGCTGAGATCACATCATCACCATCCGTCCAAACAGCCAGAATAGTCCACTCAAATAATAAACAATGTCTCTGACAATATCATAGTTGTTATGGGTATGAGTTAGCAGACATTCGGGATGATAAATCCTTTTGGGGAGGCCTTCCAGAAGACTGAAAACGTCCTTGTAGACGCATCGGCAACGAATGAGATACCTCACTTTTACCATCTCCTCCTCGTCAGCTTATCGGTCATACACACCAAGGAGACCGCTATCAAAACAATCATGAAGGATAAAGTAATATATTATCACGGCCTGACCCCATCGCGACCCCATGATACTTCATGTCATCTCGCCTCCTTGGTATTAGCATGATCGATCGGTTCCACCCGCTGCACTCTTCAGTAAGGTGCTTGTGCGACATCTCATACCCGCCCAACCCGTGGATTTACATGTGACATGTAACCGCAACACCTCTCTTCGCACTTGAGCTGCCGCCGCCACCAGCTATATCCCTCATCGGTTCGCGGAACATCCCGCGCCAAGATCGCCATGAAAGCTGATCACCTCAAATACCGAGACATGCACCTTTTAGTGGCCCCTTCGATTGCCAATGTGCCAAGGCCCAATGCCCAAAACATCTACGCAAGAGGCTGGACGGGAACACCTTGAGCTCAATTTTTTCTGGCAAAAGGTCTGGAGTTGAACAGCATGATGGGCGACTGAAGTTGAGATTTAGTTTAGACTGGTATTACTAGGGCGCCAACGCGAAGAGCTGAACGTCCGGCGCCTGCTTCAGCACCTCGTGGCAATATTAGCTAGTGATGTTCGAATACTCAATCTCTACCTTAGCGGCCGCCTCCTCCACATGAAGAGCCACCTACAAAAACGTCTCAAACAGCTGAAAGCCTTGCTGTTTCCGGTGCCTCTAGCCGAAAGGTGAACCAATAACCGAGGGGCTAATATAGCCGGCCTTTCTTGGCGGGCAGTAGGTAGGGGATCACCATCTTGGTTTCGTGGGGAAGTCTGTTGATCCCACGTTCAGCTATCATTCTTTCACAGCCACAAGACGATTATCAAGTCGCCTCGGTCTACTGTGCGAAAACAACAGACCACACTTAACGGCGAGAGGTGCTGGATTAACGTGTGAGACCTACCATCCTCATGTATGCTAAGAGCATTCTAGGCCATGCCGGGCCACACCTAGTGAATCCGTGCCTAAGGCCTGCAGGGAAGTGGCTTTTGGAGTACAGATATCATTGATCAGACGCCATCCCGGGGCAACGAGGAGGGGTGCATTGTGGTCAGAAGTCCAGCCTTCTTGAGACTTTATTGCGCCAGACTCTTGCGGCATTTGCAGTCTGCGTGGGATCCCCAACAACAGCAGCTTCTATACAAACAATTCTCGACAGATCAAGCCTGCTTCACTCAATACTGAATACGAACTTACTGTCTATCGACAGGATTTGAACGGCAGATTGAACAAACACAACCGCCTAGTATGTCTACTACTTCCATCATCACCACAAAGATGCCCGGCTTCGTGTATGTGAACGCCACACCGGCGTTGTTTTGCGTACCATGCGACCCTGTGTACCCAATAACTTCCCCCAAAGGAATCGACACCATTGTACAATGGCCCCGGGGCTCACAACTCAGCTATTCGATCATACCGCGACAAGAGAGCAAGACACTCGAGTTTGTGATGAAAATTGTCAAAGAAGCTATGCACGAGTGGTTTAGTGAGCTTGGGAATACGCTTGAATTGAGAGAGGCTCGCGCTGGCGAGCTCGCAGACATTCGCATATCATTTCGGACCGACATGCCAAGTTGGAGCTGCATCGGGGCCGCCGCAGCTGATAGTGTTCCTTCAAAGATGGAGCCTACGATGAACTTCAACTTTGGAGGATGGAAGAGCTCCAAGGCTGTGTACTCGCATGATGCTATCAAGAGGCTCGCTCTTCATCTTCTTGGTCACGCTCTTGGGTTGTGAGTAAAGCCTCCGTATTGAATGAAGAAAATAACCGCAGAATTGCGAAACTATTCAGAGAACCAACACCATTCTAGGCCTCATGCCAAGCTGAATCAGTGGCCATTATCATGGAAGGAGGTCGAACTTGAACTGGAGTGCGATTCGTTCAACGCTAAACTGCTCCGTGATGCCAAAGGCTGTAACCAACTACGGGACCCCGAGTGGATCATGCATTATGATGTCCCAGCTCGACTAGACAACAGCAGGACTGAAATACGACAAGGCGGCTGTTTCATAGACCAAGAGGCTCGAAGTCTCGTACAGTCTTTATATCCCAAGGTTTTGGAAGCTTCGTTCTTTCAATGCGATACATCCGACTTCTCGAAAGAGTCCAGCGCCGAAGACTTCTTCCGCACAACCTGTACCGCCAACATCGTGACTGGCATTCGCAAAGTGGACATGGGTATTAATGCCAACTTTGGCCTCAAGTCCGAGGTTTCCAACGTCGACAGCGCTGGGTACAAAATCAAAATGGGAACTTGGTACGAGATATGCCTGAACGCAGCCATTTGCAACGTCCTTTCCTTCAAACAGGCAGATGAAAGAGTTCAGACAGGGAGCGCCAGATGGGACAGTCTGACTGGAGGAAACGAGCGATGGACCCGACAGACATTTGAGAAAGCTTTCACGCGGACTCCGAGTGTCGTTGTCTTCATTAGTGCATTTGACACTGAAGAGAGGAAGGTCGTGCGCATCGACGTGGCGCCTTTGGACATTGATAAGAACGGATTCACAGTCCATCTGAAGACCTGGAATGGTTAGTCTCACCTCTTACCCGTTCTCATTTGTATGGAAAGCCCCCGAAAACATCTGCATTGGTACCAATACTATAATTAACAGCCCGAAGGCTAATTCCTGCTTCTCAGATTCCAATATCTATGACATAACGGCCACTTGGGTCGCACACGAGCCAGATGAGTGGTCTATCCGCTCCGGCCCTCTCGACATCGCATTCGATCAACGCCAGACAAAGGACGTAAAACTCACGAGCGATTTTACCTTCCCAATGAAGGAGAAACCTGCTCAACTCTTCTACGCTTTTTCGCACATTGATGTGGAGCCCGACAGAAATCTCCAAGTAGATTTGTATGCGAACTGTGACGAGAAGAGGGTGTACGCAGAGTTCCACACCTGGGATAATGAGCAAGGCTTTTTTCAGTGTAAGGGGTGTTATATTGCTCTTGCTCAAGTGTAGGGTTGTGAAAGAGGTCTCCCCAATGTTCTGCTTCACAGCATCTTTTTACTGTTTCCACTTATAATAGCCCAGAAGTCCATTGTAATCTACCAGAGGAGATGCTATTGCAATCCGAGCACCTCCTTCAGACTGGATAGGGTTATCCTCAATACATCCAACAAGATGGGCAGAACAGCATGATTATTGCCAATACATTAAGATCATAATCCTAACGACTGCAATATAACATCTTTACCATTCTGGGCGAAACTTCATTTTAATTGACAGTTGTAATCTGTTGGCTCCTTGTTCACCGTAATAACAATTGGTGTTGGCATCCAAATCGAGAAAATGGAAGTATTGCTTGCGACTTTGCCACGCCTGATGCCCTTGAATTCAGCCATTGCTAGCAACAACCCATTACTTAACGAAAAATGAGGATATTGTCCTTTGATCAAACCCCCCAAAGTGGAGCGAATGTTTTCTCGTTTACAATCCGCATCTTCCACACTGTAATCAAGAAGACAACGTATTGTCCAATACGTGTTACTCCTTGCAAATCTCGATATTGCTTTAGCACTGATCGTGGATATGAGGGGGCGGCGTTCATGGGACTCTGTCGCAGGTGGCGAGACACATGTTCAGCACTAAGAGTAGAAACTAGTTCTAGGCACTTCAGGCCAAGGGTCACAAATTCGGCATATAATTATTATGGTGACGTA